GGTATGAGTCCCAGCTAAGCCAATTCCTAGTTGTGTGATCTTGCACAAACCAATAAATATCCCCATGCCTCAATTTCTCCTACTGAAAAACAGGGATAATAAAACTCTTATCATCACAGGGTTTGTATGAAGTTTAAACAAGGTGCTATTTGTAAAGGGATAACTGTGATATAGTAATTTAGTAAAAAACCATCTCTATAAGTGTTAATGTCTTAAGTGTTATGATTTAATCATTCTTAGTGACAATATGAATGCAGGGATGATTGCAAAGGCTAGAAATAGTACTTATTGGTTACAAAAGTTATAGTTCACATGAAAACATTAAAAGAATTAATGCTTGTAAAGTCAATGAAAGTTAGGTATTATTACTATCACCATCATTAGTGTTATTACCTTCCTTTATTCCTTTCTCCCATCTCTAACTTCCTTTCCTTCTTCCTCTCATTCCACAAGGCACTACTCCTTCCATAGTCTCCCCTACACATAATTGCCACTCACTCTCTTCCTGCATTATAAGTGACTTCTGAATGATCCTTCTCTAAACCAAAGCCTTCCACATTTACAATGGTTCCTTCTTTTGATCCCCCAAGAGTCTCCTCTTTGGAATTTTCACATAACCCTTACTTCTTCCCTAAACAAAACCAAACCCTCAGCCGTCAGGTCAATTCTGACTCATAGTGACCCTATTGGACAGAGTAGAACTGCCCCATAGGGTTTCCAAAGCTATACATTTTTGCAGAAGTAGACTGCCTCATCATCCTCCCACAGGATGGCTGGTGGGTTCCAACTGCTGGCCTTCTGGTTAGCAGCCAGATGCTTTAACCACTAAACCACCAGAGCTCCTTATTATTTCTCTAATCCACTGAATTCCTGACTCGGAATTACTGCAGTCACTTATTCCCCTTAATTCTGGCTCATGGTCACACTGGTTTTCCCTCTTGAGTTTGTGTTCTATATTCTTGGTTATCATATCTGGCTGGTATTCTTAGATTCCAAGTCTAGTTGGTTAATTAGGAACTCATACAAAACACCACTCTTCTGCCTTTCCTGTCTCCTGCATCCCTTCCCAAGGTCATAGTCTCCACTCGGGAGTTCAGTTCCTGAATTATAATCTTCTTTCCTTTTAGTAGAAGACAAAACACCTTTTTGATGAAGTCATCATTCACCTTGTTCTTGGATAGATCGAATGCTGGCCATCCACTTGGTCTCCTTTCCTTCCTCTATTTGAAGGTTATGGATCACTGAAAAGAGAAAGGAAAGGTAATCAGAGATCTCAGGGACCACATCTCATAACTACACCTCTAGGAGCATCCTTGACTTCCAGTGCTTTAGTGGGGACCTTCTGGCCCTCAGCAAATCCTGGGTTTCAATAGGTCTCACATGGCTTGTGAATCCTATAGCTATTCCACACAGAGATGAACTTCTCAAGATTTGAAAAATGCTGGATAGTGGAAAAATTATAAATGGTTGTTATCTCTCTTTCAAAATCAGGAAACAGTATAAGCCAACTTCAAAATAAATAATATTATGTGGAATGTATTTTGTGAACTGTACATGCAACCAGGAATGGGGAAGAAAAGGATTTCTTCAGGAGAAAGTTACAATTATGGATGATTCCAAACCAAAGCCTGTATTGTCCATTGATTCCAACTCGTGGCTACCCATGAGTCGGGTAGGACTGCTGCGAAAGGTCCTTTTGGCTACACTCTTTATGGCCTTTCTGCTGCGGTGTTGTTGGGGGAGTCTGAGCCACAAGATTTAGGTCAGTAGTTGAGCACACGCATTTTGGGCCACCCAGAGACCTGTGGATAATTACCAATGAAACCCATTGTGTTTGATTGGATTTTGACTCATTAGAACCCTATGGGACAGAGTAGACTGCCCCATAGGGTTTCCAAGGCTGTAATATTTACAGAAGCAGACTGCTCCATTTTTATTTTGTGGAGCAGCTGGTGGTTTTAAACCCCTGACCTTTCAGTTAGCAGCCTAGTGCTTAACCACTGTGCTAACAGAGCTCCTCCATGGATAACTAGACCTATGTAAAAAAGAGAAAGTCCCCAAAGCTCTTAGGGATAGAAGTGAAAAAAAAAAAAAAAAAAAAAAAAAAAACCCAACAACTTTGGTTGAATTGGGTCAGGAAAAATGATCAGGTCACCAAGAGACATAACAGTGGAGAGGAACTAGGACTGTCCTGTGGATAGGTTGGGGGCAGTATTCTAGGAAACAAAGACCCTTCCCAAAACGTGCAAACAGGAAGTCAACACTGTGTACCAGTGACCCAGGGAAGTGGCAACAGGCAGAAGTGCAAGAAACCAGCCCCAGTATTGTAGGTTTCAGAACTGCATTTCAAGGTAACCCAGAAAACACAGGTAAGGAAGTGAGACTCACAGGACACTAGAAAGACGATCACCCAGGAAGCATGGAGGGTAGTGTCAGAGCTGCACTGTGTGAGAGCTGACCAGGGAGCACACTTCCTGGGACCACACCCAGTAAGGGAACTGGGGAGTGGTGGAGGTGGAGAGAAGATCGAAGGGAAAAAAATGGTGTGAGGGACATAGGTCCGGATACATAAAGGGACTGTCTGTGCAGGCATTACAATGAGGGGTTTTCTCCACATGAGATAAAGGTGCACATGGGACTGCAGGAGAAGGGGACCACAGCTCCCCTCACCATGACTTCTTGGCGCTGACCTTCAGCTTCTGGGCAGCAGGATGGATGAGGTACAAGCAGCATCAGCTAAGTCACTTGAGGCTAGGGAGTCGTCACCTTGATGGACTGCTGTGTAGACCACTATATGAACCAGTGAAGAGAGATGCAGATGCTGCCCTGCTGGTGAGCTGTGTTTCTTGTCCTATGATCTTCTAAGCAAAGCTGATGCTAGTGTGACTCTGTCTTATGAGTCTAGATGCTTAGTTAGGCAGTTCTGGTGGGTGTTGAGCCATAAGCCATTATACCATAATCTTTAAGAAAGCTCCACTTTGTCCCACAGTCCAGCATAGTGTGTGACCCAAGGTAGGAGCTTAATGAAGAATGGAAAAAAAACTACTCCTGGATCTCAAAAGGTAGGAATAAACCCAATTACCTTTATTGAAGCTGCTACAAACGTGGATTAAGTCAGGGTATTCCTTCATGTTGACTTCACTAAACAATGTTTTCAGAAGTGACTGGCTAAATGACTTCTCCATCTTACTGAGAACATTGTACATTACTCTTTGTACAGGAACCAGGTTTCTACAAGCCTCTTCAGAATCCTTAAAAAATATTGAACGGAGAGAATATAAATACCAATAATATAACATGAATTCCAAGTTACAGAAATGTGCTAAAACCAAAAACCCAAAATTATTGCCATTGAGTCAATTTGAGTCATAGCGACCCCTCCTTGGGTTTCTGAGGTGATATCTCCACAGAAGTAGATTGCCCAACCTTCCTTCTGAGGAGTGGCTGTGGGTTTGAACCACCAGCCTTCTGGTTAGCAGTCAAATGCCTTAGGCACTATACCACCAGAGCTCCTAGAAGCATCCTAGAAAGTAATTTTATGGATATGTATTCTAATTTTCCAAGGTTGGTATCTTCTCATGTAAAACTTTAGGATTTCTACATATTTGTATAGCTACTAAATGAAACAAGTAAATTATTCTTCCTTAAAAATATTCAGTTGTGAATCTAATTTTTTTTTTGCTTTCATTTACATTAGAAAGAAAAGGGTCAATTTTGAGGAAAGAAGTGAGTTTAAAATTAAATGATATGTAGTCCTTTAATAGCCTGGGCAGGATGTTTTATGAATAGACTTACCAGGAGATGAGTGGTCGTTCTATTGACTGGATAGCCCCTGCTCTCCCCCCTATATGGACTAGGTCAGGAAGGGCTTCAGGAAGCCAGGTGGCAAATCTCTCCTTACTGTGAACTTGGTCACAGGAAAAACATTGATTGGGTGAAAAGAAGACTTTACCTCTTTAAAACCAAACTCACTGCCGTTGAGTTGATTCCGACTCATAGTGATCCCCTTTGGGTTTCCGAGGTGGTAAATCTTTATAGAAGTAGATTGCCCAGTCTTCTTTCCTCAGAGTGGCTGCTGAGTTTGAACCATCAGCCTTCTGGTAGAGGTCAAATGCCTTAGGCACTACACTACCAGAGCTCCTCTCTGCTCCCAAATTAACAAGATACCAATTTCCTATGGATTTTCATGTTCTCAGATTCAAGTATTTAAAATTGATGTTAATTGAAATGTTGGGCCAATTCTCTTATTTATGTTTTAAACTTTAGTTTATCCTTTATTGCTTGAATTCCTACAAGACATTACATATATGTGGAGTACACCGGCTTCTGACCCAGCCTATCTCTGTTGCTATTTGTTCCCACTCCAATGAGCAACATGGAAGACAGATCCTTCAGTGAGAAGCAGTAACATCTCTGGGGAAGCCTGCTTTTTGTCTCACTTTTTACTTTATTGAGAATATTTATAGAAATATTTGAAAAGTTTGCCCCAATCTTAGGCAGACCCTCAGCCTGACAGTTGTGCTCTGAAGTTTGCATCCAGAGTATGAATGCATAATTTGGCTTGGGGCTGATTTACTAGGCTGTGGATTGAAAAACTTCACTTACTTCAAACAATTTATTGGTAATAAAGCCATGGTCTCGAAGGCCTTCAAGGAGAGGAAATGTCTTATTTATTGCATTTGAAATCTCCACCTTGTGTTTTCTGTAGTGATTGAATACAGTCTCAAAGACAAGCCTTTCCTCTGCGTTCTGTTCTTCAGTGGACGTCCTAGGAAAGAAGATGCCACATGAAAATGGTCATCAAGATTCCAAGATGCTTGTGGAGGGTGTAAGATTTTCTACATGAATAATAGGCTGTGAAGAACCAACATATGTAAAATAAGTGGTTCTGACAAGAGACTAGAATAAATGATTGAAGGAATAATCAAAGAAGTAATAGAAGAAAGCATGGAGGTTAAGAATGACTTATATGTACCAAAAAAAACCCACTGCCATCAAGTTGATTCCAACTCACAACAACTCTATAGGACAGAGTAGAAATGCCCCATTCAGTTTCCAAGGTGCTGAGTCTTTACACAAGTAGACTGCCTAATCTTTCTCCTGTAGAGCAGCCAATGGGTTCAAACTGCCGACCTTTTGATTTTAGCAGCTGAATGCTTTAACCATTGTACCACCAGAGTGCCTCAGACTTATGCATAGGGCTGAAAAAGTCCAGTGTGTTCCTATCACAGTTATTTTAAAGATATCTTCACCTAACATATCTGGAAAATTTTTCACTTCAAGAAATTTTAAGTCCCTGTAAAACTGATGTGGAATAAATAAGCCATTGACAGCAGAATAAAAAACAATAGAAACAAAATTGGAATGTAACTCAACAGCACACAACAACACAGCCTTCATTATGGAAGCTTTAATTAGCAACCAAAAGAAAAGCACAGAAAATTAAAACAAGATGTCCCCTCTGTGACCTTTGTGTCCAAGGAAGAAATACCATCCAGTACCATAATACTAATTCACAAATGATTTGGTATGATTTAATTACAATGGTTTAGCTTGAGCATTTCACTATACATATAATACTTTTGACATATAACACATACTTATAACACTTTCTATATGCTAAACATCATTCTAAGCAGGAATTTGCATGGTGTCTTCCCTCAACTCATTAAGATTTCTGATAAAATCTTAATCCCTCCCATGATAACTTGTCTAAAAGAGCAGCCCTATTGTGCTCTACTTGTGTACCTTACTTTTGTCTGCCATTAAATTATATATTTATTTGTTCATCTGATTATTGTTTGATTCCTCACTAGAATGTCATCTCTATTAGGGGAGGGACTTGAATAAATAATGTATGCAGAGAATATATGAGACAATATGATTAGAATTATTAACTAAGGAAGGCATTCATAAACAGAATAGAAGGAGGAAAATATTAATAAATTTGTGTATATAAAAATGTGGTTTTGCATGGTTTCCAGCCAAACAAAAGACAGGCATGAGTTGAACATTTACCTCAGGTAGATACACTCCTTGGAGAGAACAATCATGGGAGAAAGAAGGGCTGCTTATGCACAGGGAGACAGCTCAGGGGGCAGGAGTGCATGGAGGGATGGACACTGGGAAGGGGGGTAACTATGGGGAGGAAATGGGAGGGGAGCTGTTGCATTGTGGTAAACTGTGGTCAATGTCATGAGACAATGTATGTGAACTTCTGTATGGAAAGTGAATCTGCTCTGTGAATCTTCACTCAAATCACACACACACAAAATGTGGTTTTGAGTTAAAGATAGGAAAGTGAAACCAAATTATAAAAAAAACAATCTCTTGTTCAGTACATTTACAGAATATATATATATATACACACTCTGGTGGCAAAGTGCCTAAGACATTTGACTGCTAACCAGAAGGCTGGCTGTTCAAACCTACCAGCTACTCCTCGGAGGGAGGGTTGAGAAAACTACTTCTGTAGTGATACCACCTCGGATACCCAAGGAGGGGTCGCTATGAGTTGGATCTGACTTGACAGTAGTGAGTTTGGTTTTTTGGTTTTTATGGACAGCTGATCTTTGGGAAGGAAGTTTGGGCAATCTACTTCCATAATGATAATGCCTTGGAAACTCAAGGAGGGGTTGCTATGAGTTGGATCAGACTCCATGGCAGTGGTTGTGTTGTTGTTGTTGTTGATCTTTGGGAAAGGGCCAAAACCCATTAGGAAAAAAAAAAAAAAAAATTAAATGGGGAAAAGGTAGTCTCCTCCACAAATGGTGCTGGCAAAACTGGACATCCATTTGCTGAAAGAGAAACAGGATTCATATATCATACCATATACAAAAAAACTAACTAAAGATGGAGCAAATACTTAAATGTAAAATGATAAAGATCATCAAAGAAAAAATAGGGTCAAGCTTAGGAGCGCGAATACATGGCATAAATACACTATCAAATGCAACTAAAAATACATAAACAGCAGAAGATAGATGACCGGGACCTCCTAAAAATTAAACATTTATGCTCATTAAAAGACTTCCCCAAAGAGTAAAAACAGAACCAACTGACTGGACAAAATTTTTTGGCAATGACATATTGGACAAGGGACTAATTTCTAAAATATATAGATAACTTCAACACCTCATCAACCAAAAATATAATCCAATTAAAAATGGACATTTCACCAACGAAGACATTCAGGTGGCTAACACATGAAGAAATGCTCCCAAGCATTACCCACACCCATTCGAGGGGTGCAAATGAAAACAACAACAAAGCCTCTCTCACCTCAGGTTTAACAGCAAGTTTAAAAAAAAAAAAGAGAGAGAGAAAACAACAAATGCTGATGAGGGTGTGAAGACCGGAACTCTCAGACACTGTAAAATGGCACAACCACTATAACAAACAGTATAGCACTTCGTTAAAATGTTGGAGATAGAAATCTCATATGATCCAGTAATTTCACTGTTAGGTATATCTCCTAGAGAAATAAGAGCTGTGACATGGAAAGATGTAAGTGCACCCATGTTCATCACAGCGTCATTCACTATAGCAAAACAATGGAAACAATTTCAGTGCCCATTAACAGATGAATGGATAAACATAGTATGGTCCCTACACATAACGGACTGCCGTGCAATGCTGGAGAATAATGATGAATCTGAAACACCACATAATATGGATGAACCTAGAAGACATTATGGTGAGTGACACAAAAGGACAATATTGTATATGAGACCACTACTGTCGAAAGTTATGAAGAAGTTTACACAGAGAATCATTCTTGGAATGTTACCAGGAGTGAGAGGGAAAGTGAGTTTAAATCACTAATTAGAGGGCAGATGTGGGTGAAGGGAAAGGCAATACACCATAGGGTGAGGACAGCACAAAATAGTCAAAGCAAAGGAACTGGGAGGAACACAACATTTAAAGGCAACAAAGGTAATATAACATACACAGTGCTGTAATAACAGTAATAATACGTACACACACAAGTTGAACAAGAGTGGGAAGGCAGATGGGACTATACTCATGAACATAGCCAGGTTTGACAAAGGATATTTCTACATATGTGCTGCAAATATATTCAAGAATATAGCAGAGAATACACGGGACAAAGTTATGAAAACTTCTTAGCCATAAAACATGTTGAGGAAATGAGTCGCTAGGCGTGGGACCTCAGGACCGTAGTCTCAGGGACACTAAGGTCAATTGGCATAACATAGTCCACAAAAGCCAATGTTCGACATCCTACTTTGGTGAGTAGTGACTGGAATCTTAAAAGCTTGTGAGGAGCACTAAAGGTGCACTATTGGTCTCTCCTCATCTGGAGCAAAGAAGAGTAAAGAAAATCAAAGACATATGGAAACAATTAGTCCAAAGGACTAATGGACCGTGAGAACCCCAGCCTCTTCGACCTTGAGACAGGAAGAACTAGGTGGTGCCTGACTACTGCTGCTGACTGCTCTGAAAGGGAAAAAATAGGAGGTCTCAGATAGAGTAGAGAAAAACACGGGCCAAAACTCAAAATCACATAAAAAGACAAGGCTTACTGTTCTGATAAGACACTGGCGGAATCCTTGGGACTATGGGCCTTAAATGCTTCAAGCCTAGAACTGAGCTCATTCCAGTGGCTCACCATTCAGCCAAATGATGGACAGACCTGTAAGGTGAACAGTAGCACCAAGGAGGTTCTCATTAGAACTCATTGGAGCTATCAACCACACGAGATCAAAAGGGCAGCACTTATCCAGGGCGAAAGCTCAGAGGTCAGGAAGGGGTAGGAAAGAAGGATGAAAGGAAACGGTGAACACAGGGAGGAAGCGGGAAGGGTGCTGTTCCATTGTGGGGACTGCAGTGAATGTCACAAAATACAATGTGTATGAATTGTTGAATGGAAAATGCATTTGTTCGGTAAATGTTCACCCAAATCACAAAAAAAATAAAAATAAAAAAATTAACTGATGTTATTTCTGAACACATTATGTGGAGAAGGTTGGCTTTCCACCTCTTCTTGTCAGAGGTCTAACCCTTCCCAGTAAAGAATATTAAAGTGAAACTAAAAATATTCTGCCTGCACTAGCCTTCTGCATCCTTGGGTCGTTACCTTCCTTTTTACTTCTTTCAATCAATTAGCTCAGAGCCTCAAGTCAGAGATGAGAATAGTCCCAGGGCTGTCTCAGGCCCATCCACAGCACCCAACATTTACAGTAAGACTTCCTTCTGTGAAACTTTGTCAGAGGGAAAATGAGAGGATTCTAAAGCCACAAGGAAGTAACAGATTCCTGGAGCAAAGCCTCTGAAGGGACAACTGAGCTCAACAGTCCTGCCAGCTGAGTGGCTGTGTCCAAACACTAAGGACAGCCGGACTTCCCCGCTAGCTGTCATGCTATAGGTTAAAAGTGCTCACCCCCTACACTCAAGCAGCAAGATGGTCCAAGAGAAGGATGAAGGTAGCGAGAAACAGACTCACCCAGCGCTGAGGTCACTGTCCCCACCTATCATTGTCCACCCTGGCCCTGGTGGGCCTTGGAGCTCACCCGTCTCTCAGTCTGCGTCCAATGTGGCTGCTAAGCCTGGGCAGGAAGTCTGCAGACTGACTCAGCCGAGAGAGCTCCGCCCAATTTTAAAAAGAGAATGAAAGTATTTATTCCAAAGTGGGAGGGGCACAGGACACTGCCTCCCTCCTCCTCCAACTCCAACGTGGTTCTCAGTTTTCATGGAACGTGGCAGCAAGGACTGAGGGGCAGGACTCATCACCCAGTCCTCAAGGACCAGCGGAAGAGGCAGCCTCTGGGGGGGGGGCGGGGGGGGGCGGGGGAGCACCAGGGAGTCCACTTGTTTGGGCAAAAGGAGGAGCCAAAAACCACCTATTTCAACCAAAAGTGTCTCCAACTGCTTCTGCCTTATAAGGAGTATAAATAGGGGGAAAGGGGTCTTTCCCTGACCCTTGCCCAGATTGCCATGTAGGAAAGAGAGAAAGCCAGAAATAATGCCCCTTCTTTGGCCCACAGGCTGTCATACACATTTATGAGCCTAGACCAAGTGCCCGTGTTCTGACACAGGCTGGGGAGAAAGGCCTTTGGATTTCTGGAAGGCAGCCAGGGTAAAAGAGAGCTGTCCCAATATAGTATCAGAGGCCAGAGCCGAATCGATTAAAACACTTAGAAATACTGTGGTGGTTATGTTTTTGTGTCATCTTGGCTGGGCCTGGTTGAGAGGCTGGGCAGCTAGTGGTAGTTGTTCCCCATGATGAGATTGGCAATCAAATCCATGGTGGAATCTACCACAAGCAGCTGAGTAGCTGCCTTTGGGATGTGGTCTGCTTCCTGTATATAAGGAGAAGCCTTGGGAATGGTTTCTAGCTTATGGCACGCTTGGACCCTGCATGAAGCCGAGTTGTTGTTCAGCAGCCTGCCATGCTCTGCCAACCTTGGGACTTACAATGGACTTGAATTCATGGCCTGCCGTGTAGTTTGGTAACATCGAGACTGTGCCTTTTTACTTGTCAATCTTGGGGCTTCTCAGCCTCAGCAGCCAGCAGCTGAGTGAAGAAACACCTTTAGCTCCAGTGGGTTGGGAGCAGGAGGCAGAGCTGGACCCCAAGGTTGAGGGGCTTTCACCCAGCCCCTAGAGCTTGGCACTTTGAACTCGGACTTAAAGCCTCCAAATTGTAAGAGAATAAATTCTTGTTTGTTAAGGCCATCCCATTTGTGGTATATTCCTGTCAGAGCAGTACTAGGTAACCAGAACAAATACTAAACAAGTTGCAAATGTGGATGAGATAGGAGAGAGTTCCAGTAAATGGCGGAATAGGCAGACAGACTACACAGACCCTCTTCAAGAAAGAAAAGGGGAACCAATTAACACAGATACAGAAGATAATGCTAAAGCCCTGAGCTTTGTTTACAAGTGGTTCGACCATTTTGGATATTTAAACAAGGGATACAGAAATGGATTAAACTCCAACTAGTAGAAGAACAGGAGCTCTGGTAGCGTAGTGGCTAAGGCACTTGACTGCTAACCAGAAGGCTGGAGGTTCAAACCCACCAGCCACTCCTCGGAAGGAAGATGGGGCAATTTACTTCCGTAGTGATACTGCCTCAGAAACCCAAGGAGGGGTCACTATGAGTCGGGTCCGACTCGACGGCAAATAACAACAACAGTAGAAGAACCTGCATGAAAACACCAGTAAAGGAGACATATGGAGCTGCAGTTTGTCAGTGATCCTGACGGCATGGACAGCTTGGATATTGCCAAGTGGTGTAAGGACTTAGGAATTAACCTAAAAATGAGCCCTGCTAGTCAGGGACTGCACGGAGGACTGCACTGGTGGCTGGTGAATAAAAGGGGAAGCAGTGAAGAGGGAGATGGGCTGAGCTGTGGACTTTTGGCTGTCAGAGGGCGCAGCCATTTTGAATGTTTACAAGTGGTCCGACCATTTTGGATATTTAAAGCGACATCATTCTCTCAGATTCCAGGGACCTAAGAACAGGCTCCACTTGCTGGGGACTGCAAGGACATTCTAGATGCCAATGACTGGAAAGGTGCGATATTCCCCTTTTTACTCTTATACCCCACACCTTCTTGGTGAACAAAGGTGCGGCCATCCCTCACTCCCACCCACCTTCTGGGCCAGCAGAAATTCCATTCCAGTTTGTGTGCTCTGAAAGAGACTGGGTGCCCTGCCTGACACTGTCCACATTTTTTTTTCCAGTTTGTTTGTTTTTGTCTGTTTTAAAATTATTATTATTATTTTTCTTTCTTTTTTGTCTTTTTTTATTATCATTCTTTCTTCTTCCCTTCCCAGGTTCTAGTTTTCAACTTTTTCTCTGTTCTCTGTTCCTACTTCCCATTTTTTTCTTTCTCATGGTTCTCCCCATTCCTTGTTTTTCTTTTTGCTTTTTTCCCATTTTTTTCTTCATTATTCTCCTACTCTACCTCTTTTCCCCTTATTGCCCCTCCCCAGATATTGCAGGGTTTTCTTTCTTTCTATTCATATTTTTTTTGGCTTTTAAAAGTATTTCTTTAAACATTTTCTGTCATTTATCGCCTTTCCTTTTTTTTTTTCTTTTCTTTTTACTCTTTTTGGTGATTATTCCTGTGTGTTAAAGTGGTGTATTTTTTGTCCTCTTGCTTTTACTTTTTTGATGGTTTTTCAATTGTTGTTTTTGTCTAACTGAGTGGAGCAACTGTGCCCATACAACCCAACCACATCCGCACTTCCTGCAGCTCCACTTATGAGTGAGAGCCACCACTTCCTTCTGCACAAACTGGCCAAAAATACATGACCACCAATAAGAGCCTGATTCAGCCTTAACAGTTCTTCACAGACAGTTGACAGAGATCTGTGCAGCCACTCTCATTCTCTATCACACCCACCAGAAGACAGATGGTGAGTGTGTAAGTGCTGCCAACTAGCTAATAGAGGAGCACAGTACCCTGCTTACTCAGATATATCCAAAAAAAAAAAAAAAAAGAGAAGAAAATGAAAATCTTGGGTGAGTAACTCCAACATACAATCATCAATTAAATATAAATACAACAAAGTCACAATGTCTGGAGACAACAAACCTTCACAGTCCACACAAAGAAGCAAGATAAAGCAGTGGAAATAAGGGAGCAGGATACAGACCCAAAACACATCCCTGAGGAAGAAGCAGCACTGGAACTCTCTGAGAAGGAATTTAAAAGAATTATGTTTAGGTACCTTCAACAGTGTGTTAGACTGGGTTCTCTAGAGAAGCAAAACCAGTAAAGCTTATATATACATATCCAAAATCAAACCAAACGCACTGCCATCGAGTCAGATCCAACTCACAGAGACCCCTCCTTGGGTTTCCGAGGCAGTATCACTGCAGAAGTAGATTGCCCAACCTTCCTTCCGAGGAGTAGCTGGTGGGTTTGGACTGGCAGCCTTCCGGTTAGTAGTCAAATGCCTAGGCGTTACACTACCAGAGCTCCCATATATACATATGGAGAAATTTATCTTAGGAAAAATGGCTCATGCACTTTTAGAAGCTGGCAAGTCCCAAGTTCTTGGATCAAACATCAAGCTGGAAGCTTTTTCCGAACTCATGTAGCTGCAGGGACTGAGGAGCTCAAGGTTGGCAGGCAGTGTACTGGCTGTTGACTCCAATGAATGATGAATCCAAGATCTCTAGGCTGAATGGTGGACTGTTCACTCACGGGCAGTTGTAGGCAGCACAACAGGATCCTGATCCAGAGGAGTGTCTCTTTCACGAGGATGTCCATTAGTACATTGGAAGCAGTTCACACTCCTAGGGAAACTCCCTTTCAATGGATTGGCTGCTCAAAACATATACATCTGATCCCATCATGGGAGAAGTGTGGCTCTGGGTGATTGCATATTTGATACTTTTCTGCAGTTTTGTCAGCATGAGGAGTGTAAGGAAGCTGGTTGGTTGGTCCTACTTACACTAGACAAAGGGTGAAAGAGCGAGATGAGTTCAGGGCTGCTGAGTCACAGCTTAAGTGCTACATAAAAGACCCCATATTTCACCCACTTTTGCAACTTGTTTAGTACTTTTAAGTGTTTTAATCAATTTGGCTCTGGCCTCTGATACTATACTGGGAGAGTTCTCTTTTACTCTGGTTGCCTTCCAGCTGTGCTCTGAAAGAAAACCTTATTTCTTCTAGTAACAGAACTGATATTGCCGAAAACCAAACTCAGAGTCTTATTGTAAGGGTGGCTGAATTACAACTCCAATTAAATTGCCAACCCAGAATGGTGTCTGAGTTAAAGTGAGGACATTGGGAAAAAAATGGGATCCTGAAACCTGGAATGGGGACATATGGGCAGATAGTCAGGAAGATCAGGATATGGAGCCTGTAAATTCTGTTGATCCCTCCCATCTGAAGGGTCTACTGTAAAACCATTACCCCCTTCCACCTCTGTTTGATGGGATTAACCCAACTATTCCTGCTGGGTCACTGCCTGAGGCAGAGGCCATGGAAGACATTGCTGAATGTTCTCAGGAACTTCCCCAACCACCCATCATTGCTGCTAGACTTATAACTAAAGTTAAGTACAAGTGAGCCCCAAAAGGTAAAATACAAAGTGTGACTGAGGAGGTGGTAAGCTTCAGCTGAAAAGACCTACTTGATTTTGCTAACAGGTACAGACAGAAACCTGGAGAATATGTATGGGAATGGCTACTGAGGGTGTGGGATAATGGTGCAAGGAATGTAACATTGGATCAGTCTGAGTTTATTGATTTA